GATTAAGTACAACGGCGGCTAAAATATTTACTTATATCAAATGCATAAATTAAAAAAATAGTGTTCTTATAAATGGATATAGTATTCATATTCAGCTGGATTTTACTCACATAGGCAGACAAATATTGAGGAATGCAAGTGATTACGATATTTTAGCAAAACATTATGTAAAGAATGAGCACATTATTGAAGAGTGATAAAGTGAATGAGACAAATAATTGCCGGAGCGACCTAATCGGAGAACCTTGTTCAAAGTCCTCTGCAATAGTAGTTATGATAATTAGCAGCTTTGGACGATGGACTTAGTATATTCCCAGACGTGACACCGCTATCGTACTCTGCATCGCCAGTATTGCCATTCTCAGCACTGAGTTAAAACTCTTCATAGCGAAAAGTGGGGTTAATTCCTTGAACAACTTTCTGTCCAACAGTTGTACCATCACTCCTCTTTCTGTCCTGGCCCATCTATCTATTCCATACCCTGTTATCTTACTTCAGCTCCGAAAAAATTATGACTTATTCATATTCGACTCTTCTGGAACCGTGTCCTTTTTTGATGAATTTAGTGGGGCGTTATCTCACCTGCCTGCTTATCTAAACCTCCTTCCCTCGATTTTCCATAATTGCTGATCCTACTCTGACCTCCTATCTGAAGCTTCATCATGGCTCTTAACTATTCGTACGAGGTACGCCCAAAAAGGTCACCCAAAAAATGCCACCAAGTTGCGAAAACGAGGTCAGACAACTTCCACACAGGATAATGGACTGTCACCCAAACAGAGGCAACGAAATATTAGTTTTCATATCTTTTCTTTATGTATATCTACTCCATTTCTTCTATTTTTCTATAGAAATATGCAGATAAATAAGTACTAGTGCATTCGAACAATAAAGTTTGGAAGGTGATTAAGAAAATAATGGACGAACATGAGAATGCGTAAAAAGAAAGTAATTTCGCAATGATTAGATTCTCAGGCAGTTAAATACAATATGAGATGTATTCACCCAATTTCGTTTCAGGTGATAAAGGACTGAAAGTAGAATTTTCCCACAACGATATGAGTAGAGCTGACACTTCCATTGAATTCCACATAGCCTTGCTACCTCGAAACTCTATTTACATACAAAAAATAGTTCACTGCAAATTAAGCCAAACATATATTTTTACTTTGGCTCTTTTTCTATCTTTACCACATCAATAGCATACTTAAATATTATTTTAATTAGGTCTGCTGATAAATGAGCAAATGTGTACCTAAATGATTTATTCTGGATAGAGGCTGAGACCATGAATAGATCAAGCATCCCATTAAGGCATAGCAGGACGGATAGGCTGAAATATTTCAGGTCAATCGAACTCCCAGACTATGCGGAACAAATTATTTGGAAACTGGAATCCTAGTCTGCCATTTTGGGATCTATACTAATAAAATGTGAATAAATCACTTAAATTACCATAATTTGTGCAGATGGGCTAGCAAAAATGCCCTTGAACATGACATTCTGGATAAATGTCCGTATGAAACTGATTAATTTTTTGCATATGAAACTATTCCAAAAAGGAATACATATTTATTGGGCAAACTGCAAACTATAAGAACTGGGCGGATAGTATGATTGCCCATTGATGGTATAAAAGCACTCGAGTCTAATCAGGATGTCCATTTGATACGATGCTACGGTAGCAGTCAGCAGAGGACTAGAAATGTTCCTCTTTTGATGGAATTCGTCTGACAGACCAGCCTGCCTTAATGAAGATGTGCTATTCGGTCGATTTGCGACCAGGTTGGGAATAGTTTTAGTCGATCCACCAATCCGTTGATAGTATCGATGCCCCGAACGGCACACAATAGTCTGGACAAGCATCGAATCTGTCCACATGCAGCCTATTTTCCTTCGCTGTGCGTGCCCACGTGTACCGAAAGTGTGCCCACCTACGTGTGCCCGCCTGAATAGACGGTGATGCCCGTGGAACTACCGAAACCTGTATCATTCTAATAATCGATGGAACTGTCTGTCTAGGTAACCTGCTTGTCGCCCAGCATCACAACAGAGACATACTCTTCCTTTTTCTGGGTGTCTATCTGGGCTGGTCTGGCCAAGATCGGAATTTTGCGTGCTAGCCTTTCGGCGACTGCAGATCTCCACTCTCGAAGGGCCACGACCAACTCGTTCGTCCGGTCTGGCAGTCACTTCAAGATGGCCTCCTACCGACTCTCTCTGCTGCTTGGATGTGTGCTCCTCCTCATCATGGACCTAACTCACGTCACGTACCAAGAGATCTTCACGGCCATGTCAGACCTTGGCCAAGCCGTCCAGACGGGTCACGAGCTGGTCGCCGATCTCTACACTTACGCTGATCTCGAGGAGGACCGTTTGGCTCGGATTCGCCAACTGGCCGACAAGTTGGCCAACTTCACAATAGGCCATGGAGAAACCGCCTCGGAGCAAGGCATTTCACAGCATCTGCCCAAAGACGAGCAAGAAGAGCTCTTGGTTAGCAACCCAATCAATGCGTATTTAGTCGTGAAAAATCTGGTTGCCAACTGGAAGACCGAGCTGTTGAGTCTGGTACAGCGAATAAGTCCCAACACTTCGAAGGAGGCAGAAGAAGATCGTGATGAGAACTCTGCTGATGTAGATGAACTGGGCGCCTATGGGAAACCGGAAACAAGCCGGCAGGTGATGGAACGCATCTCGGAGAAGGTCAGCACTCTGCCTGGCCACGAGGATCTGGTCGGCGCAGCTGATGCTGTTCTGCGTCTCCAGACGACCTATAAGCTCTCCTCGATCGACCTCTCCGAAGGGAAAGTCGTTCCGGGCGTGTCATCTCCAAAGCTAACCGGTTTGTCAGCTTGAAATCGTATTTTTTAAAATGTTTTCTAACAGGCTGTATCTGTATTTTAGCTTATTTTTCTCCCTCTTCCAACCTATGCTGATTGCACTTTCAAAGTTGCATCTTCTCATCTACCCAGAATTTATATTCTTCCTTTAGACCACATTGTCGCAGCGTTATTGGAATACATTCAAATATTTACTTTCTCAAATACAGAACAAGCAAGTTCAGTTACGATGGAAGTTCTTTAGGTTTGCTGTCCATCGGAGTTTTTGGTTAACACATTATTAATAATGAGTCTTCCATCAAGGGAAAATCAGCCATTTGGGAATATCCCTTCATGGACCTTAAGTCAAACCTCATCCGGAATTCATACATTCAATGTGGCTCAGCATTGCTGCGTCTGGGCAACTTATGCGATAGCATGTCAGTTTCTTATCATGTCATATCTAATTTAAAAG